CCTAATACTGTAGGGTATAAAGCTTGTTTGGACTCAAGGGATTTGCACTAAAATCATATTAAGGTCTCTTATGAGCTTAGTGCACAAGCACTATCACTTTAAGTACTATTATTGTCTAATATTGCAATGGCTATATATTTCCATGGCTCTTTTCTTGGGGTGTTGCATTTTTGTTGCAATTGAATTTGCTTTACTAATTCCCTATTTATTTGTTGTATTTAAAAACTGGTTTACTTGGTTGCAGACTGGTTGTTTAAAAAAAAAAATCCTTTTCAGTATATTTTTTTAAAACGATGTTACATGTTGGAGCAAAAAAGATCAGTGGGGAAAAAGCTCATAACTTCCAATTTTGTGATAAGCAGGTTAATATGTGGCTATTAGCGTGACAAGAAGAATCTACACCTTTTCCAAACAAAAATGTCAACTACTGTTTTATTTATTCTTTGCCAGTCTGTTTTTAGTAGGCTTAAAGATCCAGTATGAAATGTATTTGTGTGTGATTGTATGCTATTTATTAAATTTTAAATACTTTGTTGAATGTCATTTTAAAGCATGTTTAAAGTCTTGTGCATTTCTGTCGTGTTATGCTGTCGGGCAGAACTGACTAAAATGTTTTAATATGTATCAAAATTAAATTGAATTTTTGTTAAGTTTTTGAGGTACTTTTAAAGATAAATCCAAGGTCTGTCTGGCTTTTTTATTTTCTTTTTTAAAAATCCTCATCTCTGAAGTACAAATCACATGCAGAAGAAACAAATAATTGAGTGGCTTCCAAAGTGTATATATCTTCTCCCTCTTCTCTTCTTTCACAGACACTGGGATGAGAAAAATAAACAATTTTATCTGGTTGATTTTATTCATGAGTGTTAGCAGGTGAATTCTGAGTTCAGGACATGGTTATGTAGATTTGTGCTTTTGAGGAACTTATGTGCAATACAGTTGTAAAAGATTCTATTATAATGACCCATGCGGTTTCAAGTTTCAGAACAGATCACATCACACTGGTACCAGGTCAGGTACAGATTGGCCCATAATTACACATACCCGAGTAAAAGTCATCAACGGCCATTTTTATTCACATTGAATAATATCTAAATCTGTGGGTAATCTTTAGTCTGATTTCAGTGGCACTGCTTACAGAGAAGGCAACTTTGCAATAGGAACATGGTAACTCACCCTGAAATACGTGTGAACAGTATGTCCTGGTATAAAATACTGGGTTTTTAAACCTTCCTAACTAGTTGTCATTGGAAATGTTTGTCCCTGAGGCAGATACATATTGAAGAAAGAGTCTTCACAGAATACCTTCGGCATTCTACGCAAACATAAAGCGATCTAAATTCGTTCCATTAGATGCCCAATAGCATGTACCTATGGACTCCATACTGCAGATGTAAAAAGAACACGTTTCATTTGTTTTAAAGGAGAAATGCTACACGCTTAACTGAGAAGTTGGATTTGATTGAGAATTTGGAAAATTGTAAATAAAATTCATATTTGTATGACGTTAACTTGTTCCAGTGGTTTTTTTTCTTAGCCAATTTAAAGTCATGTTACTTCATTTCTTCTGACTTTGGAGCTGCTTAGGTGAATCTCTTATTTGTGCTTCTTGGTTGAGCTGTGCTGCAGCGTTAGAGCATTTTGAAGAAAAATAAGAATGATCCACCGTGGAATTATTTTCTGTAATAAATCACTTTAATCTGAAAGTTTTGAAGAATGTAGATTATAGTGAGGCATTTTTTTTTTAAGGTTTACATGAGGAAAAAAAAAATGCCTCACTTTAATCTACATTCTTCAAAACTTTCAGATTATAGTGAGGCGATTTTTTTTTCCTCATGTAAACCTTTCTAAACGTGGAAGGAGGCTGGTTTTGGTTTTTTGCTCATATTGCACTTTGCTTGCCATTTCATTTCCACTGAAACATTAGGGGGCTGACTGAGCTTCCGATGCTGCGAGGGCTGGTTTGGTTTCCAAAGTCACGACCTTTTTCAGTACAAGTTCCACAAGTATTTCTGATAGCTGCTCTTTGGAAGCAGCTTCCCAGAGAGGATGCTGGAATTACAGCATCTTGTGTTCTACCTCCTATCCAAATGCCAAAGCAAGAACTTGGGGCAAAGCTGGGATTCAGCCTAGAGAAATCGCAGTTTGAGTTTGGGACACATCCTTTTTCAGCCAGTCCTTCCATTAAATACTTCCTGCAGATCAGAGTTAATCATGGGATTTCCTGTTCAGTTGAGTTTTTTTGCTTCCTTTCTGTAAACTGAGTGTTTGCTGGCCTGTTTCATTCTCCGGCAGCTGACAGCTGCAGTTGTCCTGAGGAAGTACTGCCCATTTTCCATAAACCTTTAACAGCTTTAACCTTCCTGTAGGTGTGATGAGTGGTGTTTTGTTTTGTGTGGCTTCTTTCTTTTTTTTCCTCTTGCTCTCTCTCTTCTTGCTCACACATGAGTTTCTGAAAATAAGCAGTTGGTAACTGAACCCCTCCAGGATGTCAGCTACAATCCAATTGCCCAAAATGGGATAAGTTCTGAAAGGACAAAAGAGAAGTGTCCTGTCCCTTTGCCAAGTCACTGAAGGTGCGGAGAGGTAAGCAGATCCATAGTTAAAGCTGCTTTCCTTCTATCCTCTTTTGGGATCTGACTACGGAGTTCGCGCATATTTGTCTTCATATTGAGAAGTTTTAAAGCAGAGTGTTCTCGTGTCAATGTATTTGCCCAGCTGAGGCTTCCATTCACGTCCAGTACCACGCTGTGATCGGTCTGGTGAACGGTAACCTGGGGGAAGAGACGCTAGTATTCACCAAATTGAAGTATTATCTACCAATTTGGATAGACAAGACATCCTTCATGGCTGATGGGGGAAGTGAGAGAAGCAGCTCTATAAGCAGTCTAGGCCAGTGATTCCTGACTGCGCCTTGAGAAAGGGCATTTGAGGAACACCAGCATTAGCAAAACATAACTAATCTGTGTGAATATCCTGATGCAAATGAGTGTTTGTAATACTGCCCCCGCCCTCAAATCTTGCAGAAGAGCTTAGATTTCATCATGAGTTCCTCCTTGTGACTGACATGTATTATCAAAGTATCAAAGAAAATCTGCTGCCTGAAAGAGCTTCGCTTGCATTTGATCTGGAACTGTTCCACATTCCGGTTACCCTGTATGCTGCTTGTGCAGGAAGGAAAGGGGTGGAACACAAAAGGCAAAAAAAAAAATCAAGATGGAAAGGTGAGTCACTTGATTTTGATTTTGAATGATGGGAGAGTTGGAATAAAATGGACTAGAAACTCTTAAGGAATAGAATTATGATTATTACATTGCACAAAAGAGTGGGTTTTTTTATGTAAGATGAACAATTGTAGGAGACCCCTCAAAAATAAGTCAGAAGGGGTTAGGTGTATTGGGTTTGCGTGACAAGGGTTTGGTAGCGGGGGTGGGACTACAGGGGTGGCTGCTGTGAGAAGCTGCTAGAAGCTTCCTCTGTCTTCAATAAGCCCAACACCAGCTGGCTCCAAGATGGACCTGCCACTGCACTAAGGCTGAGCTCATCAGTAACGGTGATATGAATGGAGAAGGAGGGGCAGGAGATGCTCCAGGAGCAGGTTCCCTGGCAGCCCGTGGTGCAGACCATGGTGAGAGGGCAGGCTGTGCCCTGCAGCCATGGAGGGTCACAGGGGAGCAGAGACCAGGAGGACCCCACACTGGAGCAGGGGGATGCCCAAAGGAGGCTGTGACCTTGTGGGAAGCCCATGCTGGAGCAGGCTCCTGGCAGGAGCTGTGGCCCCATGGAGAGAGGAGCCCAGGCTGGAGCAGGTCCGGGGGGGGGACCCAGCCGGGAGCAGGCTGCTCCTGAAGGACGGCACCCTGTGGGAGAGACCCACGCTGGAGCAGTTCATGAACAACTGCAGCCCATGAGAAGGACTCATGTTGGAGAAGTTGGTGGAAGACTGTCTCCCGTGTGCAGGACCCTGTGCTGGAGCAGAAAAGGGTGAGGATTTGAGATACATCTCTGTTTCACCCACTTTTATGTGAAGCTTAATGCCAGTAAGAACTTTTGGGTTAAGAAATTGTTGAAGACTGAGTGATGATAGAAGGGCTTTTCAGAAATAGGATATGGTAGGAAGGTTGTGAAGCAAAGGGAGGATAAGAATAAGATTAAATAATTACAACTGAAGATAGAAATTAATAGCGTTTTATGCCAGGAGGAAGCAGTTAAGAGTTCCAAGGGGAGGTGGGTGAGTGTGTGTGTCTCAAGACTTTAAAGTGGTTGTTGTCTTTCAGAAGATGTCCTCGAGGTCTTCTGAATGTTCCCAATGTCAGTTCTCCATTTCTTGCAAACCTATTCCTTAATTTGCTGAATTCTTTTCCTTTGGTAAATAACAGATGTGGGTTGGGTTTTCTCCGAGTTCTCCATATTAAATTAAATCAGTTAAGTTAATGTTAGGTTACTGAGAAATCTCTTTGATCATACTTCATGACAGCTACACTAAACAAGACATTCCAATGTTTAGATTTCCAGGATTATTTGCTTTGCTGCAGACCACAAAAGCATTAGCATAAGATTCAAGTTCAGGGTTGCAATTGGTGACTTTCTGCAATGTCTCTCTACACAGTTGTGGTTTAAGCCCAGTTGGCAACTAAGCATCACACAGCCACTCGCTCACTCCCCTCCCAGTGGGATGGGGGTGAGAACTGGAATGGCAAAAGACAGTATAATAGGTAAGGCAAAAGCTGCACACACAAGCAAAGCAAAAGAAGGAATTCATTCACTACTTCCCATCAGCGAGCAGGTGTAGCCATCCCCATGGAAGCATGGCTCTATCACATGTAACAATTACTGGGGAAGACAAATGCCATCACTCTGAACATCCCCCTCTTCCTTTTTTTTTCTCCCAGCTTTATATGCTGAGCATGACACCATATGGTCTGGGATATCCCTTTGGCCAGCTA